GTGGCTTTGTAGTATAGTTTGATATCCAATATTGTGATCCCTCCCACTTTGTTCTTCTTTCTCAAGATTGCTGTGGCTACTTAAGTCTCTTTGGTTCCATATAAATTTTTGGAATATTTGTTATAGATCTGTGAAATATGTCATTGGTATTTTAATAGTGATTGTGTTGAATCTGTAGATTTCTTGGGGTAGTTTAGACATTTTAATGATGTTAACTCTTCCAATCCATGAACATGGTATATGCTTCCACTTATTTGTATCTTCCTCTACCTCTTTTTAAAATGTTCCATAGTTTTCTGAGTACAGGTCTTTTCTCTCCTGGGTTAAGTTTATTCCTAGGTATCTTACTTTGTTTTTGTTGCATTGGTAAATGGAATTTTTTTAAGTTTTTCTTTCTGAGAGTTTATTGTTGTATTAAAATGCTACTAGTTTCTGCATGCTAATTTTATATTCTGCCACGTTGCTGAAGTCACTTATTAAATCTCGTAGTTCTTGGTGGAGTACCTGGTAGGTAGCAGACACTCACCACATGTGTGTGAGATAAATGCATGAGGACTTCCTTAAAACTTCCCTCTACACAGGGAAGGGTTTGGTTTATCTTGGAATTTTGTGACTCTTTCTATGGAACCACCTACTTCATTGTACAGTTTGTCTCCTCCTCACTCCACTCCTCACCTCATCTCCACAGATGCCTTTCAAGGCCAAGGGTTTAGTCTTATTTACCTGTGATTTCCCACCACAATGAGCACTTCAGGTTTATGTCTGGAGCATAATAAGATTTTGTCACATCACTTACCTCATAGGGTTGTGGCTGTTTGCTTCTATGGCCATATCTCTTTCTGGACACTTGGAAAGCAAGTGTATCTTATGCTTATCTGTGTACAAAGTGCCTTGCTTAAGATAAGAATTTAAATAAGTATTTTATGAATGAATAAATAAAGGAATGATTAAATGAATCAATGCATTACTTATATCAATTATAAAGTACAAGTTAAGCTCTAAACCAGGGTGGGGAGCCATTTTCCTGCCAAGGGCCATTTGAATATTTATAGCATCATTTTCGGGCCATACACAATTATCAACTTAAAAATTAACCTGCTGTATTTGGTCAAACACTTAATTTACTCACCCCTAATGCCTTGGCAGGGCCAGACCAAATGATTTGTGAGCCTCATACAGCCTGCAGGATGGTGTTCCCCACCCCCGCAGAGGAATCGCCCAGACAGTAAGTGCTTTGGGTGTTGAAGATTCAAAATCACCATGGGCTGGACAGTCCACAGTTGCCTGAGGCAGGTGGGCATGGGCATGAGAATGGAGCATAGTGTAGGCAGGATTTGGATGTGGATGAAGAAGAGCTGAGAGCTCTCCAGGAAGAGCAGACCACCTGGGAAAGAGACACGTGTAGGGGGCGTGCTTTATGCAGTGTCGTAAGGACTCCTAGAGAATTTAGGAGAATGTGAGCATGGAAAGTCATGGGGAGGCCAGGCAGGTGAAGTTGCCCTGGGGAGTAGCTGGGTTAGTGCAGGAGGGATGGAGACAGGAAACAGGGTAAGGATATTGCAGGAGCGAGGCAGGGGAACAGGGAGAGAGCAGTGGACAGGAGGGAACTCCAAAGGCCCTCAGTGATGGAACTGATCGGATGGCTGAGGGAGGGGGAGATGCAGGACAGTTCTGAGCTGATTGCATTGGGGGAACTGGTGCTACTACCTGACACTGGGGAATCAGAGAGAGCCCCCGTTCTATGAAAAGAGGATGGGTTACACTGAGGTCATGCAGTTTGGAAGGACCTTCAGGGGGCCTTTCTCTTTAACAGCCATAAATAGGAGTCTGGCACTTGGTTTGGAGCTGTCTGCAAAGATCCGATAGTTGAGAATTAATTCTGCAATGGAGAAAGTGCACCATGAAGAGAAAGTGGACTGAGGACTAAATCCAAAGTGTGAGGTTTGGGGAACACTGGCAGCTAGGGTTGTATAGGAGATGGAAGGGAGTGGGGGGGCGTGAAGGTGATAAGAATGAAAATCAGAATAGTGTCATATCATGCATGTCAAAGGGCTGCAGCCAGAAGTGCCTCAGAGAGCTTCAAAACACTGGGAACCGAGATAAGACCTTCAGCTTCGTAAGGAAAGACTTGGATCTGAGAGTGAATGCAGAGCTGGTGGCGGCTCAGGATGAGAAGGTGCAGAGGATTGGAGGCAGTGGGTGTAAACCCACACAGTTTAAGTGTTTTCCTTGCTGAGAGTGAGAGTGAGGGGAGGGAGAAAGTAGGAAGGAGCCAGAGGAATAGTAATTTTTTTCCTAATTAAGGTATGTTTCTAAAAATCAAGGTATAATTTATATGCAATAAATTGCAAACATTTTGAAGTGTATAATTGGATGTTTTACCATGCATATACCCATAATACCATCACCACAATCCAGATAGTCAATTTTTTATTAGCCAAAAAAGTTTCCTGGTGCCATTTTGTGATTCCTCACTCCTGCTCCCTTCTGCCCTGCCCCCAGCCCCACCTCCAGGCCACTACTGTCATAATAGATTAGTTTGTATTTTCTAGAAAAGTATAAACATGAAGTCATACTGTATGCACTGTGTTCATTTGTTTGGCTTCTTTAATTCCATTTTACCCCTGAGTAGTATTCAGTGTACTTTGGTTATGCATTCACTTATTAGTGGTTTTTTCCAATCTTTGACTATTACAGATCAAGTTATTATGAACATTTTTGTACCAATTTTTGTGTAGACATACACTTTATTTCCTTTTGGATAAATACCTAGGAGTAGGGTGGCTGAATCATATGGTTGTTGTATGTTTCACTTCTTATCACATTGCGCACCAGTGGTTTTATTGCTAGCTTTACCCAGTGGCCAGATAAGTTTCTATTGAAAGAGCACAAAAAACGTTTTACAAAGTATCATACTTTGAAAAGATATTAGCTTGTAAGAACATGTAATAAATAACTTCAAAATGCAATGGGTATTTAATTTTAAGGCGTGCCTTTAACATTTACGTAAAACACTGTGGAATATGAAAACACGAGAATGCTCATAATCCGCCCGCGATGTGTTAAGAAACTGCCAGCCTGTTTTCCACATGGTGGCCCCATTTCTCAGCCCCGCCAGCAGCGCAGGAGCGGGCCCTGCCTGCCTGCCCACGCGCTGTGCTTGAGTGACAGTCTCCTTCTGGGTCTGCTCTCCTGGGGCCTCTGGGTGGAGGTCCAGGTGTCCCAGCCTCTTCAGGCTCACACACACTCAGTTTCTCCACCACCTTGCAGGTGGCGAACGCCATCAGGTGCATGGGAACTTTGCTCCCACCTCACAGAAGCCCACTCCATTGCCCAGGTGGTGGCATGCACCTTGGCGGCCCAGCATTTGACCAACCTCTGAAAGGAGATGTCACTCCCACTGTTCAGTGGGGCTGTTCGTATAAATAAACCCACCATCAGGGACAGTGCTCCGATGCTTTCTGCCCTGGTTTTTGGTTTGAAAAGTGGGTCACGCAGCACGGGAGCTTGCACAGAGGCTGGCCGGGATCTCCACCCACAGTAGCTGCAGACTCAGGGCTCACATGTTGGTAAACCCCTTGGCTCAATCCCCCACATTGCTTTCCTGAGTCTTCAGCTTCTGAGAGACAAGTTTGGTATTTGTGTTGTAACAGCTTTACTGAGATGTAGTTCAGATGCCCCACAATTCATTCATTTACGTGTACACTTCAGTGGTTTCTAACGTGTCCCAGTTGTGCATCCCTCACTGCAATCCCCGTTAGAACGTGTTCACCCCAAAGAAAGACTGCACGCACTCGCAGTCGCCCTGCGTTTCTCCCGCTTCAGCCCCCCCTCGGACACTCCGCCACCCCGGACACCCCCACCCCACCCGCCAGCAGGCAGCACGCATTTGGACAGGTCATGTAAATGGGGTGATCCCCGCGTGGATCTGTGGCTGACCTTCCCAGTTAGCACCCATGTTGTCACATGTGTCAGGACTTCACAGCCCCTCAGGATGTGCCACTGTGTCTGTCCGCTCAGCTGCGGGGCTTTGGGCTTTTCCACTTTTGAGCGATTATGAATAATGCTGCTGTGAACATTTGCATACAAGTCTTTGTGTAGAGATTTTCAATTGGGTAACTTCTACCAAGAGAGGAAATGACATCAATAGTTAGATTTATTGAGTGTTTACCATGCACCAGGTACTGTGCTGAGCACTGTACACATACTATTCGTGTGATCTTCACAATAGCCCAAGGAATAGCCTCTGTCCCCATTATACAGACAAGGAAACTGAGGCCCCATAGCTAATACGGGGTGGGGCTTAGATTTGAACCCAGGACCTAGGACACTGTAAGTGTGGCTTTAACACACTTACGGAAGTCAGGCAGCTATTGGAACCACAGCACTCCATTAAGTCGACTTCACATTGATGAAGTCACACAGATTACATTTATACAGTGTGCTTCATCCCTGTATTATCTTTGTGAAACCTCACACTGACCCCGTGAGTGTGTTTTACTCTTCCTAATGTCCACTGAGGACAATGTTACTGCCTGGGTGACAAGGCTCATGGAGTGGGAGCCTGGGGCCAGCACCCAGCATGTCCCTGCTGCTCCAACGCCCAGCTCCCCCCAGCCTGCCCTCAGGGGAGCCTCGCATGTGCCAGTACACCCTTGCTGGAGGAAAGTTCCTGCCTCCTTTCCTCCGCACACACGTGCTGTGTGTGCACGCAGACATATATGCAAGGGAGTTACATGGTGGCCTGGCGCCCTCATCCAGGTAGACCCAGTGCCTCCACAACGTTTCTAGGCTCCCGAGGTGGGTCCCCGTGGAGTTCACTGCGGTGATAGCTGCAGACCAAGGCCCGGAGGATGCAGAGGACTTGTTCTGGGGACAGTTCTGAGGATGGCTGGGTGCATGCGGGAGCCTCCTGGCAGTAGGCAGTCGTGGGAGCCTGGAGGAGCAGGAGGAGTAACGTACAGGGTACCAACTGTCTGCCTGTGGTTGCCTGCCCACAGCTGCTATCTTGGATGACCCCATGGAGTGCAGCAGAGGGGAGCGGCTCTCCATCACTCTGGCCAAGAACCGCATCAACCGTGCTCCCGAGAGGCTGGGCAAAGCCAAGGTCGAAGTGGACATCTTTGAGCTCCTCAGAGACAGCGAATATGAGACTGCAGAAACCAGTACGTAGAATGGGCAGGGCTGCCCTCTGCTTTGCTTGTTGTAAGAGGAGGGGCTGGAGGTGCGATGAGTTGCTCCCATCGCCAGGCCTGTGGTATAGACATTTACAAGGGAGGGAGAGAGACATATGCCAGGAGGCCCTATACTAGATTCCCAGGTTTTGTGGTGAGTCATGGATGGAGATGAACTAAGACAAGATACTCATTCATTCATTCATTCATTCATTCATTCATATTTTGATTCATTTATACTCCTGGACATTGTGTACACAAATCACTGAATGAAACGTGGTGTGTGATTAAGTAAGAAAGGTACGGCTGCCCGAGGGTAGCCTGGTCCCTGCGCGCCCGACCGCCCATCTTGCTTTCTTGTGCTGAGGGCAGTGCTCTGGGAAGAAATTGGGACATGGGATGGAGCTTGGTTTTCATTCTGTGGGTAATCTTGGACAAGTCACTTAATCTATTTAACTTTGGTTTCTTCATCTGTAAAATGGAAAGGCTAGGATCTACTCTGCAAATTGTGAGATTTAAACACCTTAAATCCTTTGTGAATTGCAGTGCTTTCAAACATGCATAGTAGGTAACTCAAGTCATACATATAGAACCCCTATTGTGTGCTGGCCACTGCTTTTAATTCTCCCAACAGCCCAAGAGTTAAGTGTTATTATCCCCATTTTACAAAAGAAACAGAGGCTGAAAGACATTGGATAACTTTCTCAGCCACAGAGCTAGTCATCGCTGAGCGAAGTCTGGACTCTGAACTCGCATCATTAACCTGCGAGCTCCATGCGAGCTCACACCTGCCCTGCAGTCTCCGGCCTGTTGCTGGAATTGCCTTGACGACCTTATAGAATGAGCTTCCCAGTGAGTGGGCTGGTAGCTTGGAGCTCAGCTGGAAGTGAACAGCTCCAGTATAGAGGGAAGCAAGGGAGGAGACTTAGCCCAGAGGTGAGAGCATCTATTCCCTCAGACATTAGAGTCCCCATCTCCTCCTTTTCTAGCCCAATTCAACCTTTAACAATGCTCAATGGCAAAGTAAGCAAAACAAAACAGAAGAGCAGCTTGCTCAAGGACATCTATCAGAGGCGTCCCTGTCCCATACGGGCCGTCCAGGTCCAACAGACTCTGTGTTTATTTTCATTCAGGAAACTTTTAGGGGGCATATCCTCCATGTCAGACATGATGCAGGATCTCATGCTCTGAGGCCAACGCAGACAGGCGGCAGGCACAGTCCTGCCCTCGGGCGGCGGGTGGCGGGTGGCCCCTTGCCGTGGGCATTGTGCCAGCTGCCCTCAGTGCCTTGTTTGAGTTCTCCAGGGAGAGGGTTGGGTTGGTGTAGCTCGTCTTGGTGACTGGTCTCTCGGCTCCCAGGTGTGGGCCAGATGGTCTCATAACGCCCCTTGCAAAAAGCGCCCCCCGGCACGGAGGGCAGGTGCTCACCTGCAGAAGATGACACGGGGTCCTCGGATGGGGCCTGGGGGACAGGCACCTGGGATGGTCGTGCGTTTATGCACCTGGTCGGTCAGGTGTTCAGTGGGTGTCCCTGTGCAATATTCTGGCTGGGGGTGGGCAGGAACCGATGGAACCCTGGTTGTCATGTTGGTTACCGCCTAGCAGGTGGGAAGGAAGATTTAACTTTCTCAGGCTCTTCCCAGTGAAGCCAGAGCTGTCAGCAGTCCTGGCCCTGGGTCCCCCAGTCTAGGCTGCAGTGTCCTCGGTGCCGGAAGGCAGGTCTCAGACAAGGGTTTGATGTGAAAGACTAGCTCCCCTATCTTTCCTTTTTTCCCCCTTAATTTTCACCCGAGGTTATTTTTCCATTGATTTTTAGGGAGAGGGAAAAAGAGAGGGAGAGACAGAGAGAAGCATCGATGTGAGAGAAACACATTGATTGGTTGCCTCCTGCATGAGCCCCGACCAGGGCCCGGGACAGGGAGGAGCCTGCAACTGAGGTTTGTATCCTTGACGGATATCGAACCCGGGACCCTTCGATCCACAGGCCAGCGCTCTACCCACGGAGCCACCCAGGCAAGGCTCCCCTGCCTTTCCTTTGGTTCTGCAGGCGTTCCTGGCAGCACTGAGAGCACCGGTCGCCCATTCCTGATGGGCCGTCACATCGACACTATGAAGCAAGGTGACCAGGGGAACAAAGGAAACTGACGCCTTCATTCCACGTCAGACTCGGGCTTCTTTCCAGCATCCTCCTTTTATTATTTTTTTTATTTTTTATTTTTTTAATATATTTTATTGATTTTTTACAGAGAGGAAGGGAGAGAGATAGAGAGTTAGAAACATCGATGAGAGAGAAACATCGATCAGCTGCCTCCTGCACATCTCCTACTGTGGATGTGCCCGCAACCCAGGTACATGCCCTTGACCGGAATCGAACCTGGGACCTTTCAGTCTGCAGGCCGACGCTCTATCCACTGAGCCAAACTGGTTTCGGCCCAACATCCTCCTTTTAGGCACCAACTGTTTTATCAGCAAGTGGCCCTTGGTTCAGCTTTTACCTCTCATTGCTTTTGGGGCACGAGTAGCATTTGTTAGAAAAGAGGGTTCTATCTTTTCTCCTCAAAGGCCTTTCTCCTGAAGCCAGAGCTGCACCCCCACAATGGGTTTCAAACAGGACCCCGATAGTTCTTAGAAAGGTTCCAGTCCAGCTCTTTCCTCACAAAGCAAGGGGACGGGGTGATGGGCTGGTGCGATGGGCAGAAGCTGGGGGACAGGGAGGGGCTTCCATGCTGTGTTGGGGGCGGGGAGGGAGACAGGATGCCTGGAGGAAGGAGGAACTAGAGCTCTGTCATCCCTACTTTGGGGAGACTGTGGCATGAAGTGGGGAGCACGGGTTGTAGAATCAGACTGCACTGGTTTAAATCCGGGCTCAACTAGTGGCTAGCTGTGCGCTGGAGACGGTCACCGGGCATGTGACCAGAGGCGGTGCAGGCGAGTGCGCAGCACCACACACAACAGCTGCTCACTCGGTAAGAGCAGCTATAGATCTGCTGTTGGCTTTGTTCTCTCCCCCTCACCTCTGAGCAGCCCCAGCCCAGGCACCGATCTCCCCCCCCACCCCCCCACTCCCACCCCCCTCTCTCCTCTCTTCTCTTTCAGAGGCCAGCCCTCCCTGCGGGCAGCAGCCTGTGTTCCCAGGACTCCTCTTGGTGGCCCGTGTGTGTCAGTGTGCCTCCTGGGCACCCCTTGTGATTAGCTAGTCCCCTCTTCCCAGTTCTGGGCTTGATACATCTGACAGCTTTGAGCCACGCAAAGCCAGCTCCTGCCCAACCTTGTGGGCTTTGTCTTCCGAGGCTGGTAGCCCAGGGCTGATCTGCACTGTTAACTTAAAGGATTGTAGTGGCTCCGAGGCCCTGACAACATCCCCAACCTCACGCCTGCCACCTTGTGACAGGGACTTTGCTTCAGGAGGTGAGAGATCCTGGTGCTGACGTTCTGGGTGCCGGAAAGTAACCCTACAACGTACGTTGTACCTTCTCTTAGCCGTAGATGAACTTCAAAAGGCCCTTCAGGAACCACCGTGGTGACCCTTGGGCAGGGAGGGAGTGTCTGCCAAGGCGCAGTGGCAATTTCAGAATCAAAGGTTATGACGTGTAAAGAGACAGAATACGCTGGAGTCCAGACTTCACCTCACTTGATGGTTGAGAGCAAGGCTGGCAATGGGCAGTCTCACAGGGCCCTGACTTAACAACAAGCCTGGACACTGAGGAGACACGGCAGGAAACCACTCCCATTTCTGTCTGGTCCACATGAAAAACCACATAGACTTTCATTGAGTGGGTTTATTGAGAGTGAGGGTCCTTCATAACGCTTCCTCGAATCCACATCTGATTCCTCCCCCTCTGCCCCTGCATCATCATTGCCTCACGCTTCCCCTCCCCCTCCACAGCCCACAGATCTGACATAGTCAAGACTGTTAGGTCCTCAGCCTGGTCCTCCCTCCTTCTCTCCGTATCTTGTCTCCACCTCAGCTTCCTTGTGCAGGGAGCTGCACAGGCCCGTCCTCTGTCCCGGATATCAGTGTCTCCTGGAGCCACTGGACAAGGCTCCCGCCCCCTTTCCTCCGGACGCTGCCTGGGCTGGGCTCTGTGAGACGGACATGCTATCAGCCATCCACACTGTCTCCCTGGAAACCCGAGGATGCTGGCTGTTCGGGCCTGTCCTGGGGAGGTACAGGCAGGTCATGTTTGGTTGCATGGCTGCTCCTTCCTTACCAGCCCCCAGGCCGTACCAGCCCCCAGGCTTCTGGCAGGCTCCATGGCCATGACCTCAGGTGATGCGGAGCTGCCTCTGGTGAGGGCTAGTCTCCTTCCATCGCTCTCTGAATGCATCGGCTGCATGAGGGGCAGCAGAGGAGGAGGAGGGCATAGGAGGCGTCACGCAACAGACATGCCTTGTTCCCTTCTCAAGTCACCAGCATCTCAATGCATAAGATGGACTCAGAAAGGCACTGAATTGTGTGCTTAGACATCGTCTGGTTCAGCCTCCTCATTTTCCGGACGGGAAAGTGGAAACTCTGGGTCTTCCCAGGAGACAGTTCACGCTCACACCTGAGAAGGGACATAACCCAGTAGCTCTGCTTGGGCTTGCCATGAGTGGCTGCAAAGACAGAGGGAGGTCGGACGAGGTCAAAGGTGTAGCTCAGTGTCAGGAAGGCCTCCAGGCTAGATCGGGAGTGTTGGGTGGGTGACCAGAAGGGAGGGGAGCATTTATGCAGAAGGCAAGATAGCATGTGCAAAGGTTCGAGGCCTAAGAAAAACAGCACAGGGGGCGTGGCTGAAGCAGGGAGTTTCTTGGGGGGCCTGGCGAGGGCCGGTGGGAGAGGGCAGGGGCCAACAGTCAGAGCTTAGCTGCAGAGTCAGCTGCTCCAAGACCCTAACCCTGGCTCCCCCAGCAGTGACTGCGTCTCCCGGGCCCGACCCCTCAGCATCTGCAACAGGAATGATGAGTTCCCATTCCCGAGGCTGTGGTGAGGATTACAGGAGATGACGCAT